AAATCTCAAAAAACAATAAGGTGAAGAGCGACTGAGGAAAGCACCTGATGTCAACCTTTGGCCTCTATATGCTACCTCCTGCCCAGCACATGCACACACACAAACATGCACACACAAAAATAAAAATATAAATAAATAAAAAAAATTTTTAATTAAGAATTTTGTATCTTAATAATGGGTTTTATGTTTTGTCTTCTAGGAAAATGAGATTTGATGATTCTTATATTATTTTGGATGGACATTTTTTGCTAAATTGTAAATTTAATGTAATTTCATGAAATACGTTGCTTAACAACTAAAATAGCCACTTGCTTGATTGGTTTTACCCTGTGGCTGTGTCAGATATGTGCCATTCTGCCCACAGTTTCTTGTTTCTCATAACCAGTTATGACCCCCCCACCACCAGCTGTTTTGAAAAGTGGGCTGGTACTGGGGAGGCCACATCAGAGGAGTCTCCCCTCCACCGTGATGGCCCATGAAATTTTTTTCCAGCAACACAAACAAAGCATCAGGACAGTCTGGCTGAGCTCAAGGCTTGGTCAGAACAGGCCCAGCAGATTCATGAGCTTACTGTTTCCAGAAGGATACAGACAAATGGGCGGTGGAGGTGACTAGCATTTTGGCTTTCTGGTGACAGCTTCCTGAGACGTAAGTAATTATCCTCTCGGGAGATGACACTGACTTAGCTCACCATTCCTCCCACACTTTTTCTGTAGCTCAGGGCATATTTTGAAATGCTGGGAAATGAATACACCCTGTTAAATGTCAAAGTTTTTACTCGGTGTTTTCCACACCCTCCTAATGCTTACACAGTCCTTCAAGAGGATTTTGAGCTAGAAAGTTTATCTACAACGTGTGGGATGCTGAGAGTGATACACAGAAATGAGTAAATGTGCAACCCTTGAAGACTTATTAATCTAAGAGCATTATCAGTAACTAAAAGAAATGAACTAGGAAGTAGATAAGAATGTCAGTGTGTGATAAGTACAGGGTGTGGAGGTTTTGAAGTGTGGAGGAGTGGACTTTGAATTTCATCCCAGGGGTGTTGGCTACACATTATTTGATCTGTCCCTTTTATCAAAAGTGAAGTGGTTTACTTATAGACAAAATTGTAGGAAGACATAAAACCAAGACATTTCTACACAGCAAGCTTTCTCTGCAGGCAATGCATGTGAAAATAATCCAGTAATTACAATCTTCAATCATCATAATAAATAACTCCAATTTTTTTTTTCTCTTAAAGCTAAGTGGTCCATTACTGTGATGGTTAATCTTGATTGTCGACTTGACAGGATTTAGAATTACCATGGAAACAAATCTCCGTGTATGTCTATGAGGTTTTTCTAAGTTAGGTTGGAAGACTCACCCTAAATGTGGGCAGCACCATTCCATGGACTGGGGGCCCACCTGAGTAAAAAAGGAAAAGGGAACTGAACAGCAGCATTTGGCTCTCTGCTTCCCGACTATGGAGACGATATGGTCAGCTGCTCCTGCCACCATCCTTTCCCTACCATGATAGAGTGTACCCCCTGGAACTGTAAGCCAAAATAAGCCCTTCCTTAAATTGTTTCTATCAGGATTTTTTACTCAACAACCGGACACGTAACTAAGACAGTACCATTGTGAATTCTAGGTCAAATTTTGAATGCTTATTCTTGGGAAGCTACTTAGCTGGATATAGACAGTCTCACAGTGATGCACCTGCCCCCCCCCCACCTGTCTGATTGTTGTACCACTCCCCCTGCTTTGTTATATGACCGTCCATAATAGTCTCTTGGATGTTGGTGTTTCCTCATAAAATAGTTTGGTTTTGGTTTTATTGTGTTTTTATCTAAGCAATTTTTGTTCCAGGCTGTATCTCTCCCTTGTCTGTGTTACTTAAGAATAGTGGAAGAATGTGCTAATGTCACAACTAAAGCCAGTGCCAATTAGCTTAGCATCAGAACTGAACTGTAGAATTCTGACGTCAAAACTTACTTGAACTCATGCCAGGCATATAGCACAGGCCTTTAATCCCTACACTTGGGAGGCAGAGGTAGATAGATCTCTATGAGTTCCAGGCCAGCCAGGGCTGCATAGTGAAACCCTGTCTCAACAAAACAAAAACTTACCTGGGCTTGGTATGTGGTGGCACATGACTATCATCCCAGGACTCAGGAGGATCTCCTGTTCTAGACCAACCTGAGCTATATAAACATGATCTCAAAAACTTGGAGGGGAAGACTTACTTGGTTCTCAGATTTGTTGTCTAATTACTTTCTCTGTCCCCAACAGCATTAGCCTAATTTAAATTGTCTTACATAGAGCAGCATACTAGGTAAGATCTCTGATGTCAGACAGCATGAGTTTGAATCTTGGCTCTGCAACCACTGGTTTAATGTCTTTATCGGGTTACTTGATATCTTTGGGCCCCATCAGGGATCCTGATAGGACCTACTTAGTGAGGTTTCTGTGAGCATTGTTATTTTAAAATATTTAAGAGTAGTTTCTGACACAGAATAAGAAGTCTGTAAACTTTTATTTGAAGAATAATATCTGCTAATTTGACTAGGTATCAGGGGAAATAGAAGGATATGGATTTGAGGAGAGTTTGTTTAATCCTCTCTCCTTAACTTTGGGTAGGACCCACTTCTAAATAATACCATATGCAAAAGGTGGTGCAATATTGCTATGGTTTGAATGTCCTCACCAAAACGTACTGGGGTGTATTAAGAAGTGGACTAAATGGGACATATGAGAATAGGTTGTGAGGACTCATGGATGGATTAATGAACGGTGGGTTATTTTTAGAGAAAGTCTGTTAAAAAACCAGTTTGACTCTGCTCCTAATGTGCACACTTCTTTCCATGTGATTTCTTGGGACTCTGCAAAGTCCCTGCCAGCAAGAAGCCCCTCGCCAGATGCAGCTCATTGACCTTGGACCTCCAAGCCTCCAGAACTGGGAACTAGATAATCTTCTATTATTTCTAAATTAGCCAGTCTGCACTATTCAGTTATACAACAAAAAAAAAAATGGGAGAAGGTGACACAGTTGATACCTTGATTGCATCCCTGTGAGAGATCTTGAAGTAGAAGACTTGGATAGATATGTAGACTGGAATAAAACATTCAATCATGCTGTCTGGTCTGATTTTCTGGCTTTAAATTCATAACCAGGGCCAGCATAATGGCTCAGGAGGTAAAGGCACTTGCCACTGAGGCTGGTGTTTCAATGTTCAATCCCCAGAACCACATGGTAGAAAGAGAGAACTGATTCTGCCTAAGTTATCCTCTGACCTGTACACACACACTAGATGATAGATGATAGATACATGATAGATAGATAGATAGATAGATAGATAGATGATAGATAGATAGATAGATAGATAGATGATAGATGGTAGATGATAGAGATAGATAGATGATAGATAGATAGATGATAGAGATAGATGGATGATAGATGATAGATAGATAGATGATAGAGATAGATGATAGATAGATAGATAGATAGATGATGGGTGATAGATAGATAGATGATAGATAGATAGATGATAGAGATAGATGATAGAAATTTAATTTTTTTCATGGCTGAGGCCCACATTTCCTCCCCAGAGGTCAGTTCATCTCAGAATACATGGCCGCTTCCAGTCTGTTCATAGCCTTTTGTTTGGACTGTCATTATTGTACTTAGTATTCTTGTGTAGGAGGATAGATAGCTGGATGAATAGATATTGATAGATGATAGATAGATAGATGATAGATAGATAGTAGATAGTGATAGATAGATAGATAGATGATAGATAGATGATAGAGATAGATAGATGATAGATAGATAATAGATAGATAGATAGATGATAGATAGATGATAGAGATACATAGATAGATGATAGATGATAGAGAGATAGATGATAGATAGATAGATAGAACCAAAATTTAAATTCATAACACACAAACACTATCTACTGTATCTCTCTAGTCCACTCATTTTGTCATCCTCCAAGGTAACTGTTTCATGCTTTTTCCCCAGACATCTGTAATCTCCGCCATATTCACTCTAAACAAATAGACTTGCCCTCCCTTCCACTGAGAAACAATCAGAAGAGAACTGTCACAAGCTCCCACCACCACACCCACCCATCTACCTGTATCTAGGCTATGTTTTTATTTCACATACTTGTGATAAACTGCCCATGGTCCAATCTGGCTACCTGTGAACTAGATCCTGACTCTTTACCCCAGTGTTTGAATTCTTAATGAGTGCCTCTCAACTAAGATGTCTTTAACTGAACTCCTGATTTAGCTCTACATCTCTCCAAAACCTGGCTTTTCTCAGTCTTCTTATCTTTATGGTTTCTCAGCCTGAATATCTTAGAGTTGGGGCTTCACAGATGACTCGGTGGTTAGAACACTTGCTGCATTTTCAGAGGACTGAAATATGGTTCCCAACACCTATTTCAGGTAACTCACAACCGCCTTAACTCCAGCTCCAGAGGATCCAACACCCTCTTCTGGCCTCCTCAGGTACCTGCATGCCCATACATGCATACAGACACACAGGCATACAATACATGAACAATAATTTTTAATCTTAGAGTTATCCTTGACTCTTTTTGTTCATTCCAGAGCTGATCTTCAGTACATTTTATAGGTTCCATCTTCAAAATATACCCATAATCCTCCTGGTTTTCATCATTTTCTCTCATCCTCCTCCAATCCATCATCATTTCTTACCTGGCTTACAGTAATAGTCTCTCTTCCGGTCTTCATGCCTTTACCCTCGTTCCTCTTCAGTCATCAATATGGCAGCCAGAATGATCTTTGGACTTAGGTCACTTCTGTATTCAAATCATCAAGACTTCCTCACTTGGAGTAAAAGGCAGTATATCAGATGACCAGGCAGGTCCTATAGGTCTCTTCCCAACCCTACCCCCACCCCTGCTGAATGACTGGCTGCTCTTATGTTCTTCACATCCTGCCCTGGTTCACTAGACCCCAGCATCACTGCAGCTTAAGACTTGTACTGAGAGCAGCAAGAGGTTCCTGATGTTCATATTTGGCTTTTATTTTTCTTTTCAATAAGCCATCCTTCTGTCTTATGGGACAAAAGATAGTCACTATCACAGACCTGCATACACTGTGGGTTTGCCATCACACAGCTGACTTGCCTTTGCTAACACAGCAAGGGCACCAAGGATGCCATTGCATCCAAGTTGGTGTTCTCAGAGATGCCTTTCCTATCATCCTTTTATGAAATAACAAAAGCAGCAAATTCAGTCAAAATAACTTTTAGTGTTTTTAAAAGAAGAAAGTCAAATTTTAAATTTTATTGTTTTTATGCATGTTTATATATATGTATGTGTGTATACACACCTGTACATGTATGAAGGTGCATGTGCACATGTATACACATTTCATTCAGAGGCCAGAGGGCAACTTCAGATGTCATCCTCAGAAACGCTTTCCACCTCCTTTTGAGATAGGGTCTCTCACTGGCATGGAGCTTATCAAATGGGCTAGCCCGCTGGCCAGCAAGCCCCAGGAATTATCCTGCCTCCCTGCCTTCCCAGTACAAGGATTACAAGCATGTACCACATCCAGCTTCTTTAATCTGAGTTCTGGAGATTGAACCCAGGTCCTCATGCTTGCAAGGCAAGCATTTTACCAGTGGA